TAGGGGTCCTCGAGGCGGGGTGCCTCAAGTCTCGGGGGGGCTCGAGGCTGGGCGCCTCAAGGCTAAGGTGGGGGGTGGTGCTCGGGGATTCTTCAGCATTTGTGTTTTATGTCTTTTAATTTAAATCTTATGGTATCTTTGTCTTCTAACTACTTCACTATACTTTACGTGACTTGTAAAGTTGTCTTGTGTGGACATATATTATATGTGTGGTTTCATCTCTCCACTTCTCCCTTTACTGCTCTCTACCCCTAGGAATAATTGAACCTCAAATCTTTGTTGTTTTTATCCATCATTAATCTAGGTAAGGCTTCATCACATTATTTCTTACATTTACTTTTTCCCAGAACTAGGATGGTTGTTTTTCCCTTGTAGTAATTGTTAACCTTACTTATATGATGAGAAAAATCTTATGTTTGAAGGTAGATTCAAAATAGTCTCTTAGCTATGCAGTTATTAGTTTTATCTTCAACATCTAAGTGTCTTCATATTTTATTTTATTTTTAATTTGAGTTTGTTGTTGATGTTGAATTTTGTTTGTGCTTTGGAGAACCCAATAATTTGAATTGTAGTAGTTTCATTTTTTGTTTTGTTATTTGCTATTTTAGTCGTCCATGTTGCGTTTCAAAGCTTTGTTGTCACATGTACTAAATAATTTGGTCTTCTTTTGTCATAATTCTTTGAACTTTCTCTGTTCATATGGGTTTTTGGTGTAATTAAACAAAGAAAAATTATACTACAAATTAGATTCCGACTAAATCAACTTTATGGGTTTGTTAATTTTTGTCTTCCACTCAGTGTGAAAGTTAATAATCTGCAGCTACTCCTATCAGAGTTTTAGTTTCGGATATGTCATGTTTTCTTCGCCCTTTCTTCCAATTTTTCTTTTTTGTCGTGCATTAGTTTTCTATATTTTCATTCAGTTCTGTAGAGAATAGTTTGCTAATACTCGAGCGGAAGAGTGAGATCAAGAATAACGATTACTTTTTAAGCTAATTTCTGTCCTTTTAAGAAATCTGTATTTGGTGAACTAATTTGTTTTTTTTTCATGCTCCGAATTTTGTTAAGCTCTCAAATACTATCTTAGTGTCTATACATTTTTTTGTCATCTTAGTTATCAGTTGAGGGTACAATTCATTACATTGTGTCTTGCTACAACTGCATATTACATATTATGGGGATAATAAAATATAACATGTCTTTATTACATTGCTAGAACAAGAAAAATAAGAAAAAACTGTACTTGCTCCATTGAGTTAACAAGAAAACAAAATGGAAGAAAAAAAGTCTTTCCATTATTAAAGACAAAAACATGAAAAGATTTATTCAACATTTATTGTCATTTTTCATAAATTGTGCCAGTTCATCTGCTGACCATTTTTTGTAGAACCATCCTTCTTAATCTTCTTATAGTGTGAAAACATGCTCTTCAAGCTCTTTGAACTGCTCCATTTTGTTAATACTATAATTCCTTGCCGCCTCCTTAAACATGTCAGTGTTTTTCTTGCTAGCACACATATCAGCTACAAATATATTATGCTCGATTTCATCATATAGTCTCCTCAATAGCAGACTCATTGTATCAACGTCATTAATCAATATGTACCAACTAATTGAATCGTCAAAGTGAAATATACACCAACAACATCATTTATAAGAAATATGAATCAATTCACTTTTCGTTTTCTTATTTCGTATTTGTATTCATCCATGTTGCATTCAAAGTTTTCCTTCTTTATATACACGTCTAGAATTCACTTATAAAATACTTGTAAGAATTTCTTTTGGGCTCTCTGTTTTCAACAACTATGTTCAGCTGATTCCTGCTCTAAAAGGATGTGTCTGGAGAAACTTGGACAAAATAGGAGGTTATAAGTATTTTGTCTTTGAGGCACTACTAAAAATTCATGTTAGTGAGCCAGACAATATCAACTTTGATTTCT